CATCAAATGTTTGTTGAATGAATCTTTTCTGGGTGGAAAGAAGTTCATCAACCCACGTAACTGAGACGTGAAGGAACAACTTGGTACTCAATGGCTAGCAGGGACTTAGATGCGCAAATGCCTTATGAGATTATAGGACCTTACCAGGTGTTCTGTGAACCTCTGTCTCACTGGAGACAAATACTGCTGCCTGCTCGAACTTCTGAGAGAAAACCCGCTTGATGCCATTGGGAAGAGCACAGGAATCAGAATGAGGAGATCCAGGCTTCAGTAATGGTCCTACCACTGCCTCATCTTTGATTGAAGGTGATTCCCTGGCCTCTCTGGTCTTCACCGTACTCACTCATAAAGTGTTGGTACTAAGTTAGTAATTCGTAGGGTGTTGTGAGAAGCAAACAACACAGCGAGTGTGAAAGTGCTTGGTAAGCTGGAAAGTGCATATCAGAATATAGGAAAGTTTGTCCTTCAGACTCCGCAGGGGAAGAAGATGAGTTCTCAGTCTCTAAAAGAGGGATTGATGGGACACTATGTGCAAAAATATTACTTTTCTTGAGATCACTTATAAATAGAGTGGAATATAAAAATAACACAAAACAGTAGAGCAGGATTGTTCTTTCTGCCTTGGGTGTAGACTTTTGTTCTCCTAAAAATGACATCCTAAGTAAAATGGTCAAAACCAAATTATACATGCACACATTTTCTGGTTCTACCCTGGAGGAGTGGTACGTCCAAACTCTTTGATCTGGAATGTTCTCTTCCAAGGAGCTCTTGGAGATTATCTTGGAAGAGTATTCTGTCCAAGGTGTATGTTAATTTTTTGTTTTTTGTTTCCCCTTCTCCAATGGAAGGAGAAAAAAAAGTTAACTTTTGGAGGGCTCTCCTGCTAGGTGTCAGCATTTGACATATCACCTTATTGAATTCCCTGGTAATCCTTCCAGGTAGATATTATTAACCTTAGTTTATAGATGAGGACACCTAAGCCCAGAGAGATGAAGTCACCTGCCTAAGGTAACAGATGGGATTCAGACCGAGGCTTTTCTAGCTCCAGAGCTGATGCTTCTCTCACCACCCCATGCTCTATCCTTTCCAAAAATTCTTTCCTAATGTTTCTACAGATTTCCTTTCCAGAACAGTTAGATAAATATATATATATATATATATATATATTGTAAATAATGTGGGCAGTTGAGTTCTTTATCACCAGAAAAGACGGGAAGAAGAGCTGTCTCACAGTTGGAGACAGACTCCCTTCATCCTGCAGCCATTTGCAAGCCAAGGACTGATCCCTTTCTGTCCCCTTGTAGCTTAATTGCAATGCTTTCCCACTTTATTAGTTTCCACATTCTGTGCCAAGTGCTTTAAAAGGCAGGTAGGGGAGAATTCTCTGCTTGCCTGGCTGCCTGCCATCACCCCAGAATCTCTTGCTTGCTGTTTCAGAAAGGGATCAGCACCGAAGGCATTTTTCTCAGCAGTGAAATTTACATATCAGAACCTTGCTGGCTGAGGCAGAAATGAGGGCTTTAGGAGAGCATGTCTGGGGGTGGGACAGAGCCTTAGAAGGAGGGGGAGGGAAGAGCTTATTTTATTACCTGGGAATAAAAACATTTTGAGTAATGAATAAAGTCCGAAAGCAGTAAATCTGGGACTCTGGAGTTAGGTGTGTAACGTGTCAGAGAACAATTTAAGCCTTCGCCTCTTCTGTAGAGGTGAGGTATTCAGGCTGCCTTTTCACAGCCCGAATTTCATTAAATGCCCTTTTAAGGGTTAGGATTACAAGAAGCCAAGTCCGGCTGGTTCATAATGATGATTTATGGCTGTGTTGTCGACTCTCCGACCCTTCTGTACAAGGGGATAGAGAAAATACATAATTTGTTGCTCATTAACTCCAAAATCTGTCAGGGCTGCCCCAGAAGCCATGTGGTCCTGGAGTCATGTATTTGCTAAATGGCTTCAGCCTGGCCCTGTCCTTGAAAATATGCAATTGCTATTCAACCATGGAAATTGGTTTTAACAACAATAGAAATAATAAAATTATCCCCATGTAGTTTGCTGTGGGTCTTTGAACTTGTAAATCAGAATACCTAGACTCTACTCTTAACTCTGTCACTTACTAGCCTAAATCCTTTAGATAAGTCACCGTCTCCAGAGCCTTAGCATTCCCATCTGTAGAATGGGTGTATCTTCTTCACAGAGTTAAACGAAACTAAAGTATAAAAAAAATGTAAGAGGTGGCTGTTGTTGTTAACATTGCTAGGAATTTGAGGTATCATAAAATGTTCTCTTCACCTCTTTATCTTCCCATGAGAGGAGGGAGCATTTTAATTCACAATTTACTATTTGAAGACTGTGGCACTGAAAATTGAAGTTTTAGAGTGATGGGATCTTAGAGCTGAAGAATTCTTGAATTGTAATCAAACCCATTTTTCCCTAAAATGACTGAAGCAGTCAGGTGACTCACGTGAGATGAGATGAATCAGTAAGTCATGTAAGAGATGCTAATTTGCAGTGGAAACCCATGTGTTCTTTCTCAGCATCAAACAGGAGATTATGTTGGTTGATGCTCAAGCCAAGTCTGCTTAGAAGGAGTTTCTTAATCCGTGACAGTGCATGCTTCAGGGAACTCAGGAGCAATCCAAGAGCAGGGACTGTGCCTGGGCCCCTGCCTCTGCTCCTTGCCTGTAGTGTCACCTCTGAGGAAGAAACTTTCCTTTGCTATTGCTTAGTGCCTTTGCTTGGTGGGCAGGCTGGTAGTGGCGGTAGCACAGGAGAGTTGAGAATAAACGTCATTGCAATTATGAAGTCATAAATCGGAGAGTCCCGTGTCCTCATCTGGAGAAACCTGTTTATCCCAAATTTACTCAGTGAGTAGGGACTCACTTGGCCTGACCACTTGGCTCCTAGTTCAGTGTTCTTCCTCTGCATATAAAGTCACATATGTGACTTGTAAATAAAGAATAAGAAAGAGAACATGATTGTGGTAGTAAACATCTGGAACTTGTTAGCCTGTAAGGTTACATAGGGTAAAAGTATAAACAGGTTCAAAAGGGGAATTAGATTGTGAATGGCAGGAAAGAATGCTGGGCTGGGAGTCAGTACACCTGGGTCTAATCTTTAGCTGTGGGTTAATTTGAACGTCAGTTTCTTCCATATATAATGGCCCCTTTCATTTCTGACTTGCCATGCTTCTCAGATTTTAATCTCTACAATGTGTTATCAAAGGGCTTTTGGTAATGTTTAGGGGATATTTCCAATTTTTCAATAAGGCAACTCTGAGGACTGCTATCCTGCTCTCTTTCATTCATTTCTTTTTTCAACAGAGAGTCTCTGAGCATCTACACAGAGTTGGATATTAGTTCTGCTCTCGCAAGGAATGGCCAAGCCAGGATGCTGTCTGGACTGGCCTTTGACCATGTCCCTCCAATAAAAAATCACACTCAGTATGATCTGGGAAAACCCAGTGTGGCACTTGCAAATATAAAGCATTTATAAACACAGTGTCACTGTGTGAACGTTGGCAGTGGAAGTAGCTGTTCTCACTGCTGCACCTGCTCATCCCTGGCCCAGCTGGTGTTTCCCTCCTACATGGCTGTCCTTCCCCAGACTCTGGAGCCCTGGAGGACCTTGATCAGACCCTATGCCTTGACGCCTTCCCCCTCTGTAAAAGAGTAACGGGAGCCTTTGCAAGGGCGTGTCCGGATATGTCCGTCTATTGCTTCCCTTGCGGTTGTGACCACACGCTCTGCTCTCTGAAAGGGCAAGTGTAGCTCGTCCTTGTGCTCTGTGAGGAAGCGTTAAAGGGACTTCTGTGGTGAGTGATGAGTTGACCAGCACTGTCCCTGGGTTGTGGTTGCAACCAGGAAGTGGCCAGGGCTGTGCTGCAGGCTGCCCACGTGGTGGTGCATCACCGAAGTGGAGTCAGTCCTCTGTCACATGGACATCACGGACAGGCCCCTTACAGAGCATCAGCGGGCCCCTTTCTTAATGTAAGAGAGGCCGTTCAGGCAAGATGCTTCCTCTTTCTGAGCCTGAATGTATCTATCTCGTGGTTGTGGGTAAGGATCTCATGAAATAAAGTATATAAAAGCAATGCCTGGTATACAGTAGGCAATCGCCAATTAGCAGCTTTTTTTCTTTTTTAATAGTGATAAATCTCCCCTAAGCCTCAAGTAGTAGACAGAGTGGCATGGAAGAAAGGTATGAAAATTGAGACTCACTCGCTGTCCTGCAGGATCTGAGGAGACAGCACTGGCTGATGTGAGCAGATTCACAAACACTGAAGGGCATTGTATTCAAAATTTCTCGATTTTTAAGACTGGTGTTCTTTTCATCACACCACACTTCTAAAACATAAAATAAGAGCATCACTTGTTATCACATTTAAACCAACTCTGCAAAGGTGAGTAGCCTCCTTTTATGGAGAAGGAATCCAAAGCTTGGGAGGTTAAATTATAAGGACACCAGGTGGGTGGCGGCATCTGGATTCAAACCCAGGACTTCGCCTTGGGGTGATCACCCCTTCATATAGAAACCCCCACAAAGGCCGAGGCCCTTAGTAAGTCAGATCATTGCTGGTGATCCTCTACCCCAAATCCCAGAATCCTGAGATTTGCTCAGATCCCCTGACATCTTGATCACCCTTAAGCATGCCCTTGATTCCTCATCTAATTTTTTTTTCATAGCTAAGTTCTAATTTCTCTCTTTTAAAAAAAAAAAAAAATTACTTATAAATATATTTGATTGTATATATTTTTATTACAAAGGTGTTATATAGCTATGTAGGACTTTTAAACAAAGGCAATAAATACCATGTTAGCACTTTGATTTTTCTTCCCATGCATATTTCTGTCCATATGCTTCTTAAATAGAAAATTTGGATTTTATAGATTATAACCTTCAGTTAACTACTGAATATTCTCCTATGTCATTAAATCTCCTTTACAGCATCACTTCTGAGGATGGGTCTTGATACTGCCTAATCCCCCTTTTAATTTCCTTTTTAGATCATCACAGGGGAATTCTACCGGATCTATTACCTGAAGGAGAAGTCCCGGTCAACGATTCAGAATCCCTATGTGGCAGCCCTCTATAAGCAAGTGGGTTGCTTCCTTTTTGGCTGTGCCATCAGCCAGTCCTTCACAGACATTGCCAAAGTGTCCATAGGGCGCCTGCGTCCTCACTTCTTGAGTGTCTGCAACCTTGATTTCAGCCAGATCAACTGCTCCCAGGGTTACATTCACAACTACACTTGCAGAGGTGATGAAAGCAAAGTCCAAGAAGCCAGGTGAGACACCACTTCCTTGTGGCCATGGCATGTACCCTTTGATGCAGTGCAGTTCAGTGAGCACTTACTGAGCACCTACAAGCGCCAGGCCCAGCGCTGGGCTCTGGTTTTGATGGGTGAATTAGGCAAAGTTCCTATTCTTGAAGAACTCACAATCAGATGATTGAAGCATATATGTAAATAAACCATTACGATATAGCATTGGTGAGTCCATTCATTGATTCATTCATTGTTTTGTTTATTCATGCATTTATGGGTGCCTGCTATGTTCCAGGCATGTGTCCAAAGCACTACCAAAGATGCAGAGTGAGCAAGACACAGTGCTTGCTCTCCAGGCCACAGTCTAGGGAGGGAAGACAGACAGTCAAGTGTTTATCGGGGATGTGAATATGGCCCCCTCATGGCCCTCTCTTGCTCTTGCAGGAAGTCCTTCTTCTCTGGCCACGCCTCCTTCTCCATGTACACTATGCTGTATTTGGTGGTAAGTACCTTCGTCTGATTTGAATGGCTTTCAGCCCCAGCCTGAATCTCTTCTGATATTATAGCCTTCAAAATTGTTAGGGACAGACTTCACTGTGAAATACTTGAAAAAGAGGTTAGCTAGAAAAGTTAGGTTCCATTCTGAGCTCTGCCACTGCCTCAGTGGAAGTTGTTTTACTTTATAAGCTTTTTCTACTTTTCAATAAAAACAGTATTTACCATGGCTGCTTGACATGGATGATGGACCCATTTTGAAATTATAAAGTAATAAAGACACTTGTGTAACATTTTATGGTATAACCACTATTTTCTGAAAATCCATGATCTCATTTAATCCTTAGAATTACCTTATGTTATGAATAATAGGATCACTATTGTGGGAAAAGATAAGTAAGGAAGGCTCAGAGAATTCAAGTAAACTGACAAAATTTACATAAACACCAGATCTGTTGCTCAAATCCAAGATTTTTGGTCAAATTCCTTGTGATGTTCACCACACCAGTCCTTTTCCACAGTCTACTGATGGAAGGGATTTTAAAATCATTGTTTTTTGACTATGTAGAGTGATTTTGAGTTTTGCAACACACCTCTGCTTTCATGAGGACATGTGGTCTCATAACAACACTGTGAAGTACAAAAATCTTTATCCCCATTTCTTGGATCCAGAGACCAAGGCCCAGAGAGGTTAAGCAGCATGTTTAAGGTCCTTCAACCAGTGGTGGAACCATTATTTGAATTCACATGATGCCCTTCTCATGGCCGTGTCTGCTCTGATTTCCTGGAGATGCTCGGACAGTGCTGGTGAAGTGCCCCCTCCCTGCCGGTGCCTACAGACAGTGGGCTGGCCCGTGTTCTTCGTCAGTTACATACGGCCTTCCTTACCTTTCCTCTCTCCTTGAACGGCTCCACGTGCCAAAATGCTTCCTGCTTTCTGCTGCTTTGATGCAGTTCAGAGCAAGAAGGTGCTGAGAGGTCAGACATAGCTCAGAGGAGCATAAGCTGTTTGGAAAAAGAGCATTTTGATTTTAACTTATTTAAAAAACATAATTAGGAATTGGAAAAAACAACAGAGAGGTTGTTTTGTTTTGTTTTTTCCCCAATCCTTTCCAAGTTGGGAGGCCTCTGGGCTTCCCATTACCTAGGATGCAGAGCTAAAAGGTAGGCCCCAACCTAATTAAAGACATTAAACATGGATTTTATGTATTCATGAATAGCACTTCCCTCCATGCTTCATTTTTTGTTTTTGTTCTTGTTTTGCTCTTAGAAAGGATAATTTAGCAAAGATATTTAGGTTCCTGCTCCATGTGTATATTTTACCCAAGGCTGGAAGCAATTTTACAAATGTAATTTCAGTGTTTTGCAAAGGTGCTTAGAGAAGTTGGGTATGTGTTCATTTTTTTCATGTCCCTACATTTTATTCCAAGAGAAAAATACTGGATTATTTTGAAGCCAACACTGGGTGCTCTGTCCTTCACAGCTGCCCAAGAGGTGAAGCTGCTGACATATTTTAAGTGGCTTCTGTGTGCCAGGCACCGAGTGTAGCTTACACTATAACATTTGCTTCTCAATAACCTGATGAGATAGGTTTTGATTATTCTGTTTGCAAATAAAAACAAACCTAAATCTAAGACGTTAAAGAACAAAAGTTCTACAGCCAATAAGAGACCGAAAAGGTATTTCAAGGCTGGTCTTTATGACTCCAATGTTGTATTTTCTTTTCATTGTGCTCCACTACAGAATCAAAAAACAAACAGAAAACAAACTTCTTCGGGATAAACTTACAGAATATAACCTCCTGACCCTAATTGCGATTTCACCTGAAAAAGACCTGCCTTTCATGGCTGAGATGTCTCCTCCCTGTCCCCCGCATCCTGTCCCCCTCCCCATCACCACCTTCCCAGTTGCAATTCCAGCAAGAGATCTCTGTGGGGGGATGGGTGAAGAGTATATTTTGATTGAAGATTTATTTGCATCTCTCTGAGGGAGGAAAAAATTATTGTATCTTCATATTGCTGGAAGGAAGGAAGGAAGGAAGGAAGGGCAGGAGGGAGGGAGGGAGAACACAACTGAGAGAAGAAAGGAAGAGAGGAGGAGAAAGAGAAGATTCTCCTTCATCCTCCAGCTCCTAAGCATATTATTACCACTGTACATACCACACGCCCTTGGGAACTCTTGCAAAAGTACACACATTCAACATTCACAGCTCACAGACACCCATGTACTAGTATACAACGTATATATACACAGTTCTATTTTTAGCTCAAAAGTTATCTTTTCCTAAAACAACCTCTGAGGCTAAGGGCCAAAAATTGAGGACAGCTCTCTTTGCCAGGGGTTGTTTTTATGTGATATTACACAAAAATCCCAGCCCTTGTAACGTCCAATTTGCAAAGCTTTCTAAAGCAAGTTTGATGGACACCGTTGCTGCCTGCCAGAGGTGGGAAATCCTGCAGTCAGTCAGGGAAGACCATGGACCCTCCTTCCAGTGCTTTTATGTTGGGCTCCAGGAAGTGCTGGAGTTGGGCAAGTAGGTTCTGGACTCCCCCAAGGCACCCTGTGCTTTTGTAACACAGCCTGTGATTTACAGCTTCCCTGGAGTGTTGGAGAGGATCACATTTGAGCCAGCTGGGTATAACATTGACAGCTTTTGCCTTGGGAATCAGATGAATGTGGAATCAAATCTGGCCATGCCAGTTACCAGCTATGAAACTATGAATGAGTGACTTAGCCTCAGAGCCTCTGGGCACTCATCTCTAAAGTGGAGATGATCACGATCGTGTCTGTTTTGCAGAGTTGTTGCCGCTTTTCCTCTGGACCTTACCTTCCCCATCTGTCAAATGAGAGAGTATGATTAGATGGTGTTCATTTATCTCTCAATGGTTCTATTTGAAAGGAATGTGAACTGCCCTAAGTGCTAAAAAGGAACATGGGAGGCCATCAGGGACAAACTTATGCCCACATTATCATTGAATTCAGAGAGAGCAGCAGACGAGAAGCACCTGCCCTCTGCACTCCAGGCCTTTGGCAGCAGCTGATCCAGAGCCTCCATGGCTTTGAAGGGCACTCCATATTAGATTTAGATTTGCAAGATGATTGGCTTGGAAAAATCATGTTCCAAACACCGTATTATCTCTGGGCACAAAAACTTAAAGATGAGGGTAAGGCTTGTTAAAGATTAATGCAAATTCTAATAAGGAAAACCCCACAGCATACATAAGCATAAACTATGCCTCCTACCTCTAAGCCCTGGCCTGAACCACAGAGGTCCCCATCTGGATTGGCCCTACACCTCCAGGGTCAGGGATTGAGGATGACATGGCTATTTGTATAAAATGCCAGTACCAGGGCAGGTACCAATTCATGTAGCACACCTGGTGTCTCCTCTGTTGGGCCAGGTGCTCTGCTGCCTTCTGGGGATACTGAGATGAATCAAACCTGGGCCCTGCCCTTGAGAAACTCACCCTATGCATTCAACATTCAGCATTCAGCAGATATTTAGTGAGTGACTGTTCTGCACCAGGCATCACACCAGGGCTGGAAAGATGAAGATTAGTAAGGCATGGCCATAGCCCTTGGAGGGTTCAATCTAGAGTACCATTAGATGATGGTAACAGGCTGGTACATTCTGCAGTGGGGGCAAGGGTATGTGTAGCTTATTCTGGATGCTCAGAATTGTGGCTGCCAAGCTAACCTGGAGCAGAGGGTGGCAGAAGCCAGGGAAGGCCTCCAACAGGGTTAGTCACGTGGAGATGGGGGAGACTAGAAAAACTACCTGTGTGCAAGTGAAAAGGAGGATGGTGGTTTGGGGAACTGTAGGCATTCAGTTCAGTATAGCTTTGCTGGCTGGTAGGAAACAGAGAGGAGAGCACACTGGCTTTGGGATCATCAGTCCCAGTTCCTCACTCTGCAACTCAGATTCAGCAGCAGCAAGTTTATGTCAAGGTCTTTGCCTAGCTGCTGTCCTCTTCCCCGGGAATCTGCACCTGCTCCCGAACCTTCTACAGGCCTTCCCTGACTGTACTGCTTAAAATGACAGCCACTGCTCCAAGACTGATACTCCCTGTTCCCCTTTGCAGCCTTTCTTTTTCCACCCATTTCTTACCATCTAACATACTATATATTCACTTGTTTGTTTGTCTCCCCCCAACGAAATTTTAAGTTCCACAGGGGAGACTTATTTTTTTGTCTCTTGATTCACTACTCTATCCCACTTCCCAAAACAATGCCTGACACTTAGTAAGTATGTGATGAATATGTGATGTATAAATGAATGAATGAAGGAATGAATGAATAAATGAATCTCAGGCCTCCTGACACTCCCAGGCCGTGCTCTATTCCATTCCAATCAGAACTGTTTTCTTTTGTCCCTCCATCACTGACTTGCTGGACCACTAAGGGCCTGTGTGGTGCAGGAAAGAGCTCTGCTCACCTCTTTACTAGACTCTTCACTATGCTGCCCCGTGAGAACTGTTTTTGTGTCCGAGGGTTTGTTGGGTACCAAGGAAACAGGGAAGTGGTCCTACTCTGACAGCTGTGTTCTCAGGGCTGTGGTTGTTAGTCATTGAGGTTTTGTTCGACATGTTTGAAATCCCGGAGCATGGGGTCTGGTATGCCCACGAGGCATACCCACAGATCCTGGGCATGTCTGTAGAAACCCATTGTAGGAACAAGATTGTTTCCAAGGGGAATAAACCACTGTACCCGATGTTTTTCCTCTTTTTCCATTCTACTGCATTCATTCATCTCTGTGCATCCATACATCCGTTTCTGAGTACCTGTTCTGTGCCAGATCCTCAGACCCTTTGTGTGAGCACCTGGGAACTCTTAAAGAGCTCATAATTTTGTGTGGAAAGCCTGAAAAGTAAATAGTTGCAAACCAGTTGGGTAGGTTCTCTGCTTAGGGGGGTACTGAGGGGATAGAGCACAGAGGAAAGAGCTGTTATCTCTCCGTGAGGTATGCTAAGTCAGTTCAGACTCCCCTTAGATTAAGATCAGGTCCAG